TATAACCCCGATAATTTATAGGCTGACCGGTCACCAAAGATCACATATTTCATCTTCCTATGAATCACATTTGACTAATATTCCCAATTGATTATTGTTTTCTGTTTTCGGAATCTTTAGCGCATTCCTGTTTATTTTACCAACATAAAAGGTAAAGTTGCTCGTTATTTTTATTCTCTAGTGATTATTTTATTGAACTCAAAATGACTTGAGGGCCGAAACCTTTGATTAAGAGTTGGCATCAACACTCAATCACAAAAAAATCGCTTTGACTTGTCAACAACAGAACTCAAAAACGCCAACTTCGCATTTTTTGGCGGATTAAAATAAAATGGCCAAATTTCCTCGAACAATGGTTTAAGCTCTCTTTCTACTGACACTGTGAATTTCAATAGATTTTTCCGTCTTCAGGCTATATCTAGAAGTAGAATGTTGAAAATTCATGATTAAAAGCCAGATTTAATGGATTGGATTTTAGTTGTACTTCTGACAGTCAAGATGCTCATATTCATACACTGAAAGGTTTTAATAAAAGTCTGGCAGTGCTTAATGCGTTAAAGTTAGATTTGAAGCATGTCTCTACATTATAATACAAAGATAAGATGGCACCGGGCTTGTTGATGCTAGAGAAAGCGACTGATTGGACAAAGGGAAAAAGAAATATACTCAGCACGAGATCTACAAACCATTCCTCTCACCAGGAGTTTTGTATACACAAAACAGAATCGTTTGAATATTTGACTCACATGAATGTTAGCCCACTGGGCTGGAATGAATAGGTGAAAATATCCTCACTCAAAAACCAGCAAACTTATAATCAAATGAAACTATAACTACAAAAATTCATGCCAATTTTATCTGGTTTCTCATTTGTTGCCCATTTGATTTATTTGTGTAGAAAGTACGCGWCTGTACAAAGTCTTTTCCAACCCACGACGTTTCAGAAATGCGTCCTGATTGTGAGGGAATTTCACCGTCGTGTTGGCCAGGAGCTCTACACGCCAGATAGTTACCGCGCCTTCCTGAACTTTGGCCATCAAAAGTTTCGAACGAGACTTCTTGCATGCAAGCATTGTTCATATTGGTTCGACGTCTGTACAAATAGCCACACTTGCAGAGATAGGATGCTAATGCACACGTACCTACTGCCACAAACACCACGATACACAACACCAACACAGCAATGTGGACTGAATTCAAGCGAGTTTTCTGCGAGTCCTTAAGGCAAACCTCGTTGATTCCAATGCATTGGCCATTACAGCACTTTTCTGGAAGATGGCCAAGAGATCCACAGTCGCTTGATGAAGTGCATGTCAGGTTACAGGATTTTTTACAGTAACCACCACAGCAATAAGAATAGCCCGCAAAGCAATCCTTGTCAACGTCACACAAGAGACATTGCACCAACTTAGTCGATAAGATGATAGCAACACAGATTTTCAACAGTCTTTTCATTTTCCACTAACTGGATAAAACATACTTTTACTTCTATTGGTCTGGTTTTCACTTTGCCTTTGTATTCGTATGCGCTTCCAGCGCTAGCTCAGATAGCTTGACTGATATAAGTCCTTCTTGATTAAAATTTCACCACCTTTGATCAAATATCTCTCTTCAACTTTTCAAAATGTCTTCACGACACTCAACTGATGTTCCAATGCGAATAAGAATGGGAAGGTCAGTTAGCATGAGATCGAAGTGTTTCCCGCTCTTTTCTACGCCCACATGTCAGTATTCAAAGTGTCATCATGACTTTGATCAGGTAGTGTGAACGGCAACGACAACCGTCTCAAGGCAGAGAAATTAAGAATGTGACGAGCTGTGAAAACTTCCAACTATATATATATATATATCATCATCTGAGAAGAGGCTGGTTTCAACTTCAAGGTAAAGCGCTTGGCCTGATATGATCGTACAACAATTGATATTCAAAAAAACAGGAAACTAAAGTGCACGTAAAATGACGATCAATTTACAGTAAATGCCAGTACCTAATCACTGGCTTTTGGGGGCTTGTTTCCTAATGAGTGAGCTGAACCACTTAAGGTCGGCCTTGATCAATGATGCCTTTATAATCCACACTCAATGCTGAGAGCACTGTAGGTGATCTTGCAGACCTACCATCTATTAGCAGGAGACTTTTCGGAATAAATTACAGAAGCATTGCGAGCTCCAATTACGAAAGTACACTGACATAGAACTAGCTAGACTTAAGGAGTAAGAATCAGAAACAAAGATAGGAAAAGATAAATAAACTCAAGCGACCGTACCAGCTGAGATAAAAATAATAACCGCACAGGGAAAATATCTAATTGGGCAAATTCTCTTACCGCTGATAGGCTGAAGAAAAAAAAAWTTTTTTTCTTTGAATTCAATATTTTAAAGATTGACAGCATTCAAATGGTAGCGAGATCAGTTATTTTATAGTCTTATCGGGTATTTACAAGAGATTTTATCTTAAGTTTGCGTGTTTTTGGTCTCAACCACCATATACTAACAATGTAATCCCAGTGGTACTCACAGTAAAAATAGTCCATTAACCTCTTGTCTTCACACGAAACACTGTACATATTATCACTAAGATAATGTGTGAAAACCTCTTTATTTCAATACGGAATAGTTCGGTTGTGTATACAGTAAAATTTAATATTTTTTTCGACAGATATTTCCGTCCCGCTCAGTGGTTGCTTTTGCAAGTATTTGAAACGGGAAAAAATCAATGCTCGAAAAGTGTGTCGGTAAGATCACACACACACAAAAAACATTTTCCTGACTTTGCAGCTGCTTCCGGATGTCTTCAGAAATGAAAAAACATATACGTATGGAGTTTTATTTCAAATAAGATGTTTATTATAATGACAAGATGGTCTGGAGAGTTATTTTGGAGTGATTTTAATGGGGTAAAGAGACATCAAAAGAGCAGATAATAATGGCTAATTACTGTGCTTTACTTAACTTGAACAGCAGGAGTTGTGTTTAACGAATTCTCCTGTCGTGCAAGCTTCCAAAAATAACGCTCGGAGACATGCTAATGTAGGCTTAATTACCCACACGGCTTGGGCTTCGATAGCAAGCTAGCTGCATCACATGTGAATACTGTTTTGAAAGAATTCGAAAAAAGGTAGGCTTAAATGCAAATCCCTAAGCTTTATTCTTTTTCTCCACAACCAAAAATTCCTATTTTGAAACTATCCGTTTTTGGCTTTCAGAATTCATTGGCCACACTGACCAAATATACTGCGAATGCGCATGCGCCTAGTAAAGAGTCAGTGAAAGACAAGGTTTACCATATATGGACAAAATTGACTGGTAATCTTTCTTTCTTTCTTATTCATTTATTAACAGATTCGTGAAAGCATGTAGTAACCAAAGCACACTATAATCAAGGCTCTCCCACCTTATCTGTCATCCTTCCTCTTAATTCACACTCTTTGCATTCACAGATTTAGTTCAGTGTATCGATATGGAATAAGACTATCCCACATTTCGTGAATGAGATACTTGAAACCCTAAAAACACTTAGACTTTTTGTCTTTTTTTGTGTGTGGAAAAGCCATTCTTTTCAAATCTGATTCTCTTGATGGTTATTTACGGGAATGTATATGTACATCCAATGTCTAACAGATTAGGCTAAACATTCTGGCTGTGTCAAGACTAAACAGGGGTTTTATCCTTTGCTGCGGTTTTCTGCCTCCCTCCGCAAAGCTAAATTCCAACTATCTGTGAGTTAACCATGCCCTGACTTAGATCATCCCAGAGGTTGTTTCAGGGTTTGAGCTTTTATTAGCACCTCCACCGACTAAACTTCGACCTACTCTTGGTGGTAGGACTTTTTCATACGCTGCGCCAGTAGAATGGAACACTTTACCATCTAGTATTAGGCATATTAAATCATTACCTTCTTTTAAAGAACACTTAAAGACATATTTTTATAGAAAAGCCTTTATTTAGTTGTTTTTGCAATTCC